GATAAATTCTTTATTCTACTCCAGTGAAGCACGGAGTACATCAATATGTAGAACTAAAAGACTTTCTAGATAAATCCATAGGACTCTTGATCTACAAGTCGTTACGTTTTTGGTTTATTATTCTTAACAGTTCCTTGAACTTAAGGTAATTACCATATTAATTACTTTGAATATTACAAATTATTGTTTCAACAATGAGCACCTAGAGAAGCAGGGGTGTTATGAAAGTCTGTGCCTTATATGATTTTTTCTATTGTTTATCAATATATATATATATATCCAGATGTGATGTTGTTCATAATTTTCTTTAAAACATTTGTGGTCCGAACGTATCTTTTCATCCTATTGATTGGTTTTTTTCTTTTCCTCATTAAGATATACATTACAAGTGTTACCAAGCCGGATGTACAGCTGCTCTTGGAAAAAATGCAAGAAGCAACAACTGTTTGGGATTATGAAGGATTAAAAGGTTAAGATATATCAACAATGAGTACTAGGTTGCAATTGTGAAATGTCACTAAGTCCGTGGGTCCATGAAATCTCTAAATTCGGAACAGATTCAATCAAGGAAAAATGCTGAGAATGTGTAGAAGAAGCGTTTTTGGTAGCTTCGGTGCTCCCAATAAAAATTCTTTAACACCACAATTGCCGCCTTGCAAGTGGTGCCGAGGTCGATCCACAGACACTGTGAAGTTTAATTTCTATTTTGTCACAATTTCAAATATTGGGGGATAGATTAGAAATTCACTAAGATAAGTGATAAAATGTAGATTTCAAAAAGATTAAACTTCTAATCCAAGGAGTGAACAAGAAACCGGATTAAAGATTTGATCATTGATTTTAAATAATCTCGTTATTCAATTGATAAATTGGTTATAAGCATTAGATACGATCATAACGCCCGATTTTTCCTTACTTTATTGGCGGCAATGGTAGGACCGATTAACCACATCCCTAATCAAAGAAATAATCTAGGTACGACCATAATTTAATTTCCTCAATTGAAAATAGCCCGAGAAAAACTCAATTCAAATATTCAGTCAATTACGAAAAGATTAAATTATTTGATCATGCAATTTCTAGGTTAAGCTTGTCAACCTATTTACCACTTTATCAAACAAGTGCACAACTACGGATCCAAATGTTCAATTGACACACAATTGCTAAACCAATCTAAAATCCGGCAGCGATAAAAGATTAAATAAAATAATTGTAGTTATGAATCACAAAAATTGCACAAATATCAATTTCATAACGAAGATGCAATTTAAAACAAAACATAATCTCACAAATCTAAATCCGAAATCTAAATTCAACCTTGGACTAGAATAAATAAAACTAGCTACTCATGCTCAAAATAAAAGAAAGCAATAAGATAAAGATAATGATATCTCCCGGTGGTGCTTCCTCTCAAATGCTTCGCTCAATCCTTCAAGCTATGAAATGTAAGTGTAAGTTGTGATATCTCATCCCATGCCTTGACCCCCTTTTTATAGATGATCGGTTCTTCAATCGCGCTTTTAATCACTCAATCTCAATCATCATGCCTACAATTACGTCTCAATCCCCGTAATCCATCACTTTCCCTGACATGCAAGCTTAGATCAAGCATTTCCAAAATTCTGTGATCGAAAACATCGTATGAGCGTGAGTTACTCCATTCCTTTGTACCAATCAATAATATGCCAAAATGAGTAGAAATCTATCCATAACATTAATTATATTTTGTAATGTATCTATTTAAATATAGGACAATCTATGCATTATCAGTTTTCCGCACAGGATAGGGTGAAAGTCATTTACAGCAGTAGCTGACGAGGTACTTAATAATATCTATTTTCTTCGATCAACTATTCGTAATGCCTTATGATAATACTTCTAAGGATTGATGGGAAGTATAAAGTAATTTTGAAGTACTGGAAATTGATGTGCAGGCCTTTGTCCTCGCTTATCAGTTTTAGTACTTTGTATAGTCCATATTGTTATGGTGTATGATGAACTGTTGGCACTACTGAAATTGGTATTTTCTTCTTGTCGTAATGCTTTGTGTCTTTATTATAAGTCACAACAAATAAAACCATGAAAAATATTACAACTGTGAAAATGTATATGTTAAACATGGATATATGTTTCATGGAGATATGAGTGAGAAGTTATAATTTGCAAAAAATTATGCGTTGATTAGTCCATAGAAAATGTTTCTATACATGAAAAGTGGTAACAAAAGACATTTTATGTTAAGGGACTCATGTAACAAATACTATATGAGTGAATTTACTTCTAGTAAAATTAAAATCTGTTACAAAAACTTGTGACTTGTTGCCAAGCTAACCCTTTTTCATTATGAAAGACATGTTGTAACCTGAGAAGGTCCAATAAAAAGGTTTATTAATTGACATTTTAGACTTTTTCTGGACCTACAAAAAGTACATTTTTTGAGAATGGTCAAATCACTGGAACACATGTTGGTTGGATTCAAACTTTGATCCTCAGCATGTCCCAGTCGTAGAAAGAGGGTGATTAAGTAAAAGTAAAAAGTGCTGGATGATTGAAAAATAAGTTATGTGCATCTCATTTTGTTAGAAAACAATTTAATAAATAATTAAAAATTGAAAATCGAAAGAAGACAAATAACAAATAGAGTAAGAGAGAAAGAAGAAATACAAGAGACCATACTCATGTTGTTTTAAATAATTAATATGTATTTTCTTTGAATTAAATTGGTTTATTTACCAAAATTAACAATATATAAATTTGTACACTTATATTTTATTTTTTGCATTTAATAACCACCTTCTAGATTTCATATGACCTATATATGTACATAAACCAATTGATATTTTTCGTTTTTGTCGTATTTGTTTGTAATTTTTTATTTTCATTATCTTTGTTGATATTCTCATTATCGTACAAAATTAAGATTTATGTTATGTTTAATAAAATGATAATGAAAAAATCAGAAGTTATTACACAAAAATTAAGTTTACCAACGTCTTCACTGTAAATATCACTGTATGTTAACTTGGCCTCACAACATCACAATAGACTACCACAGCTACTTTTTTTTTTTTTTATTTTCTTATTCATCTACTACAAATAGCATCTCCATTGCATTTGTTCTTAGTTTCCTTGAATCGGATATCGAAACTTTGGTGACCCCTTATGCCACTACAAAAAAATATCAATTTTGTAACGAAAATTTTTCGTTTTTAAATCCACTTTTTCCGTTACTAATGATATTAGAGACGGAATTAGGGATCAAATTACGTTAGCTACGTGGACTTTAGGAATGAAATTTCGTTACAAATATACTATTTTTTTGTAGTGTTCATATTTATGTGTTTTCGAAATAAACATATTACAACATTCTGAGATTTATATGATTGTTCCAAGTTTGAAATATATATATATATATATTATGTTGAATATTCTTGAGGGCAGTCTTATTTTATTTGTATAATATTTTGTTACAAATTTTCTTGCAAAAGTATCTCTGTAGTTTATAGCATAAGATTGAAATTCATCTTGTAATTCTTTGTTATAATCACTGCTAAAACAATATATGTATGCATATACGGATATGTATAGATATACGGTGAATATCAAACATGATAATAGAAAGAGTTAGAGAAGTTGTGGTTAAAAATTAAAGCAGAAAATTTTATTGGTTTACTAATGTTTTCATTTTAATATTATTAATGTTAACATAACTATTTCATTCATTGTTTGAATGAGATTTTCTCCTTGAATTGAATGGTTTAAGGGTACTATATAAAATAAAAATTAATGAAAAACTAGCGAATATCATTTTTTTATATTACTCAAACTCAGTTAGTTAATTGTCCTGTTTAAATCTAATCATCTAGTCTACTATTTAGATAAAAGAGAAAAAAACATAACATTTAACATTTAACATCATTTTGGAAACTCCAATATAAAAATTTGTTCGGTGAACCTCAGTATTTGAAGAATTGTGACCAAATATAGAAATATTTCTAAATTTAAACACAAGGTTGCCCATAACTCTATTGTGATTTCAAAACTCAGTGTAAAACCCCTCTTACTTTAAAAATTGTTTGACGCCCCTTGTATTTTAAAAAACATTGCATGAAACCCTTTTATGATTTTTGAAACTCCATGTAAATCATCATTTTACTTTAAAAATTTAATGACACCCCTTATACTTTAAAAAATATTGCTTGAAACCACTCATGAAAACAATATATATAGGAAATCATCTCATCACACAAGGGAGATTTCATGGAGGGTTTCATGTGATGTTCGTAAAAGTATAAGACGATGTTATGCAACTTTTAAAGTACTAAAAGATTTTACACCGAATTTCGAAGCGACACGGCAATTATCAGCAATTTTACTAATAGTTGTGCATGCACAACAAATTTTCACATTAAAGGTTTAAGATTCGAAGCAACATGAATCATCAAACAAAATTACGCGTGCCCTAAAAGTATTTTTGATAAAAAAAATAAATTATAGAAGTGTTATTGAAGTCTTTTCATATGTATTCCTTGATTTTGTTTTTGGATATACATATTTATGTATATACTGTATTTTTTTAAACTGAGCAATTGTTGGTTGTATATTTAATGTGGAATATTAATATCATATGATATGTATTTTCTTATTAACATGAAATAAAATTGAATAGTACAATATAAAAAAACACACTATCACATATTACTTATAACTCCAAGATTTTGTGACAAAAACTGGGAAAACTTCAATATCCAAAATTAATTAACAATAACTAGAAATATAATTTTTATTAATATGTTCAATTTTGTATAAACAAAAAGTGGATATAATCCATCAATCCAATTTTCCAACAAAAAAAACTTATCAAGAATGATTGGACTAGTATAAATATTCGACATCCATGCATGAAAAAAATACAAATCAATATATCAATGAATCCTTTATTTGTTTCTATTTTATTGTCTAAGTTCTTACAAGCGTAGCATATTTCCTTCATCGATAACATGAGCAGTTCCGGAGGTCAATCCGAATCTTCGCAGCGAAAACCTGGCCGTCGCAAGTTACCCTTGCAAAAGATAGAAAAGGAGAGCAACCGTCAAGTTACTTTCTCCAAGCGCCGAGAAGGGGTTTTCAAGAAAGCGAGTGAGCTTTGCACCCTTACTGGTGCAGAGGCTGGCGTCGTAGTCTTCTCGCCCGGAGACAGGGCCCATTCGTTTGGGCATCCAGGTATAAACTTAGTGTCTGACAAGTTCCTCTCCCCAGAAAATATTGGTGTAGGTAATCAGCAGAGAGAGGGTCAACATTTGGTGGCGATGCAGCAAAATGGAGTTGATGATTTGGCTCGTGTAGAGGCAGGAATAGCTGCAGAGAAAGCAAAGAAAGAAGAGCTAGAGAGGATAAAAAGGGAGAGTATGATACCCCTGGGATGTGCAGGTTTGGAGGGACTCGGATACGAGCAACTCCAGTTGTTGAAAGAAGCTGTGACAAACTTTGGAAAGAATGTGAGCAACATGGTTGCGGGAGCGCCTGTTGCTCCACCAGCTGCGAATGTGAGCATGGATTTCGCATTTGGGGTTGGTTCCAGCACCATGGTGCCAGATAATAAATCGGCGGGGCAGGGTGGCAGTGGCAGCGGCAACAACAACGCCACCGACAGGAACTATAAAGGTGGTCGGTAAATGGGTCTGTGCTGGTGATGGGATTGATGTGGCCGTGCTTTGTTGTGATAATTATCAAGAGTAAAATTTTATTTTATGTTTTATTTACGAATAATGTGTTTTGTATCTGTATTGAAAACCGTTGACGTCAATAAGTTGTTTGTCCTTGTTTGTGTGTGTGTGTTTTTCGCTACATGATTGCATTCTAGACATTTTTTTTCTTAAAAAACTTCAGAAGTAACATCTATTTAATTTCTAAATTTTTTCTAAACATAGATTTTATTAAAATGTAACAATAAATGTTATTTAGACTTGAGTCATGTTACACATGTTTATGTAAATTTAGAAAATATCTCATAATCGGTTTTGAATTCCAACTAATCAGTTCCAAACTATTGAGGCATGGTTTTAGGTTGATTACAAAATTATACAAAATAAGGGCTCTGTTTAGTTCTATTTTCATTTGTATTTTCTTAATAAACTTCCAAGAATTTTTTAACCATTCCACGTTTTCTGTAGAAATATATGCAACAACTCCAATAAAAGCATCACAGTACCTCACATTGAATTCTCATATCAATCTTCAAATTACTGAATTCGAAACAAGTCAAAACATCAAACCAGATCCAAAATACATCTATCTATACACAATAAGACAGTAGCATGATCATGGGATCTTTTTGCATATAAAGAATTTTGGCAACACATATACCTGGATATGCATGCAACATCCTCAAACTAGAAGACTACAAGCAGGACAAAACAGTTTAATTCTTGTATCTATAGTTTGTAGGGTGACGAAAACTATAATGCACAATAGTTTGCACTATACAAACTTCATATCCTTTTATCGAATTGAAGATCAAATTGTATACTTTCAAATAATTCCATATGATAATGAATGTGCATATGTATATAGATCTATAAAATAATTCTCAATAAACTTTGCAATACAGTAAATATTTTATTATTCTGCATACATAATAACTGTGATCTGATTGTAAGTATATTTTTAACATATTTAATATATTATTCAATGTTATAGAAAAAGTATTGAATTGAAGGAGAACTTATAAACTCGTATAAACATTATTATGATACTAAATTGCTTGATGGTTGTGTAAATTCATTAAATATTTTATATAGTAAATGACATAAAGATATTGAAGCTTGACGTAAATCTTTCCAACCATACAAGAAAATATTGAAGTATTGCCAAAACGTCCAACGCATCTTTTGCCTTCTTTTTATTGAAAATCCGTTTATAAATTTTCTTAACATCCTTGCTTGATATAGCCAAGTGCAATGCAATCCTTTTTCTTATTTTCTTTGTATTGGTTTTGCTGAGCGTAAGTCCAGACTGCAAAGACACCTGTTGAAGGCAGGTGGTACTTCGAATCCATCTGCTACAATATTCCAAAGATCATGTGAAATGAAGAAATCTTGAATTTTACTACTTCAATAATTGTAATGATCGCCTTCAAAGATTGGAACCTCACTCGGGGAATATTTAAACACAGTGGGTACCGTAGAACTTGACATTGTTTTACAGCTTTGATACCAAATTTGTTGGGTAGGATAGATAGTAAAAGGGAATTGCAGAAGAAATTATCATGTGCTGCTGGACTATGCTTTGATGATAAATTATTTATTCTACTCCAATAAAGTACGGAGTACATCAATATGTATAACTAAGAGACGTTCCAGATAAATCCATAGGACTCTTCATCTACAAGCCATTACTTTTTTGGTTTATTTTTATTGACAGTTCCTTCAACTTAAGGTAATTATCATATTAATTACTTTGAAAATTAAAAATTAATGTTTCAACAATGAGCACCTTGAGAAGCAGGGGGTGTTATGAAAGTCTGTGCCTTATATGATTTTTGCTATTGTTTATCAATATATATATATATATCCAGATGTGATGTTGTTCATCAATTTTCTTTAAAACATTTGTGGTCCCAACAGATCCTTTCCTCATTAAGATACACATTACAAGTGTTGCCAAGCTGGATGAACAACTGCTTTTGGCAACAATGCGAGAAGCAACAACTGTTGGGGATTATGAAGGATTAAAAGGTTAAGGTATATCGACAATGAGTACTAGGTTGCAATTATGAAATGTCACTAAGTACGTAGGTCCATGAAAATACTAAATTCTGTACAGACTCAATCAAAAAAAAAAAATACTGAGAATGTGTAGAAGAAGAGTTTTCTGCACCGGATAGGTTGAAAGTCAGTTACAGCAATAGCTGCGAGGTACTTAATAATATCTATTTTTTTCGATCAACTATTCATAATGCCTTATGTTAATACTTTTAAGAATTGATGGGAAGTATGAAGTTATTTTGAAGTACTGGAAATTGATGTGCAGGCCTTTGTCCTTGCTTATCAGTGTTGCTAAATTGTAGTCCATACTGTATTGGTGTATGATGAACCTGTTGCGACTGCCGAAATTGGTATTTTATTCTTTTCATAATGCTTTGTGTCTTTATAAAAAATTTAATGTTAATCATTAAAAATATTATGGATATATGTTTTGGTGTATTTGTTAAATATGGATATATGTTTCGAGTAATGAATGAAAAATTATAACTCGGAGAAAAATATGCGTTATTAGTCCTTAGCAAATGTTTTTATGAATCAAAGTAGTTACAAAGGACATTTTATCTTAAGGGTACTCATCTAACAAATACTATATGAATAAATTTACTTCCAGTAGAATTAAAATCTGTCACAAAAACTCGTGACTTGCTGCCAAGCTAACCCATTTTCATTATGAAAGACATGTTGTAACCCGAATATTTGTATCGCGAGTACCTGTTACTTAGAAACACACCACAAAGTCCAATAAAGAAGGCATTTAAGTGACATTTAGCCTTTTTTTGGACGTGCAAAATGTACATTTCCTGACAATGCTCAAATCACTGGAAAGACACATGTTACTTTGGTTCTAACTTTAATCCTTCAACATGTCCCGGTCGTAGAAAGAAGGTGATTACGTAGAAGTAAAAAGAGCTGGCAACATGTCCAGGTCGTAGAAAGAGGGTGACTACTTAGAAGTAAAAAGAGCTGGCTGATTGAAAAATGAGTTACGTCCATCTGATTTTGTAAGAAAACAATTTAATAAATAATTGCAAATTGAAAATCAAAAGAAGACAAATAAAATAATAGAGTGAGAGAGAGAACAAACACAAGAGACCATACTCATATTGTTTTAAATGGTTACATGTGTGTTCTTTGAATTTAATTTGATTATTATTTAAATTAACAATATATAAATTTGTCCACTTTCATTTTTTTTTTTTTGTTTTTCACAGTTAATAAATACCTTATAGATTTCATGTAAATTTTTATTTACATAAACCAACTGATATTTCCCGTTTTTGAGCGTTTGTTTGCAATTTTTTATTTTCATTATCTATATCTATATTGTCATTAGTGTACAAAATTAAAATTTGTGTTAAAATGATAATGAAAAAATCGGAGGTTATTAAAAGAAATTGTTACGGAAATATTATGTTTACCAACGATTCTCATTATCGTACAAAATTAAAATTTATGTTATGTTTAATTGGTTCCAGCACCATGGTGCCATATAATAAATGGACGGGCAGGGTGGCAGTGGCACCGGCAACAACAATAACAACACCACTGACAAGAACTATAAAGGTGGTCGGTAAATGAGTCTATACTGGTGCTGGGATTGATGGGGCAGTGTTTCGTTGTGATAAACTTTGAAGAGTGAAATTTTATTATATGTTTGATTTACATATAATGAGTTTTGTTCGTGTTGAAAACTGTTGACGTCAATAAATTGTTGGTCCTTGTTTGGGTATATGTGTTTTTTCACTACATGATTGCATTTTGGATTTTTTTTTCTTAAAAAACTTCGTAAGTAACATGTGTGTTTGTTTGGGGGATTGGATTTAATTTCTACTGTTCATCCAATTCCCCCCCCCCCAAAAAAAAATATCAAATCAAACACCTATTTTTCATTTTTTATATTATACTAAAAATTAATTTTACATTCAAAATATCACATCAACACCTATTTATATCACATCATACAACTATTCAAATTCAAAATTTTTACTATTCAAATTCCAATTCAAAATCCAAACCCCCAAACAAACACACAGTTTTTCCTAACATAAATTTTATTAAAATGTAACAATAAATGTTATTTAGACTAACGTCCTGTTACACATGTTCAAGGAAATTTAGAAAGCATCTCATAATCAGTTTTGACTTCCAAAGAACTAGTTCCAAACTATTCAGGTATGGTTTTAGGTTGATTACAAAATTATTGAAAATGTTACAAAAGTACAATTTCTTGTTTTGGCATATGTTACTACCTTTTTTAGGGTATTGAAACTCGAGGACAACCCAAATATGAAATGCAGCAGACTGCTGGTGAAAACATTTGTATTGTTTGTTTGTGCCCCTTTTGCACAGGTTTTGTCAAGATATGGACTGTCAAACATAGGAGAATGTTGAGGGATAAGACAACAAAATATTGCAGGTTTGTGGTGGAGCATTTAATTCCCCAACGTTGGTTAGTCAAAAATTGCATTGAGACAATGTGCTTGTATAAACAGACTGTGAAACAGTCTTGTGAAGTGAGAGTGAAAAATAGAGTGAAAAATCTAGTGAGAGAAAGAGTGCATTTTCTCTCAATCTTTTCCTTTTCACTACTCCTTGATCTGAAGAAGAACACGAGTTTTCATGGAGATTTGAAGCCCATCTGAAGAATGAGAAAAAGAATTTCCAATAGGAGAAGAAGATCAACCTATACCTGCTTACTCTCAGTTAGACTGGTAGTCTGCTAGGATTATAACTACGGTTTAGTCCCTAGTTTCTTGTACATTGCGACGTAAAGAAGACTGTAGGAGAGGATAGCTTTGTGTCGGTGTTTGTTGAGTCATTGAGTCCCTTGTATACCTGGTGATAGGTTTAGTGGACGTCTCCTCGATTAGAATCCCCCAGATGTAAGTAGTTACACCGAACTGGGTTAA